CATGTAAATCCATGGCTGATTCATGTCAATGTATGACAAAACCCACTACAATATTGTAAAGTAATTAGCCTCCAACTAATAAAAATAAATGAAAATAAAATAAAATAAAACTGCAAGTAGATCTACAACTATCCTTATTAAAATGTCAATTAAAAGTAAATTTTAAAATAAAAGAAAAAGAAAGAAAGCATAGAAAGGATGGAAGATTTCAGGATCTCTAGGGCAGATCTGTGAACTCTGAAATCTGCAAGCAGGATACCCAAGCACATGGAGAGATGAGTTCAGTCCTCAAGCAAGAGAAATCAGCATGCATGGAACAAGAAAAGGTGGTCTCATTAAAAGACCACTCCAAGTATGAGGGCCCCACAGGTGAACCAGAAGGCTGAGCGCCAAAGAACTGATGCTTCTGGATTGTGGTGCTGGAGAAGACTCTTGAGAGTCCCATGGACAGCAAGGAGCTCAAACCAGTCAATCCTAAAGGAGATCAACCCTGAATATTCATTGGAAGGACTGGGGCTGAAGCAGAAGCTCCAATACTTTGGCTACCTGATGCCAAGAGCCAACTCACTGGAAAAGATCTTGATGCTGGGAAAGATCGAGGACAGGAGGAGAAGGGGTTGACAGAGGATGAGATGGTTGGATGGCATCACTGAATCAATGGACACGAGTTTGAGCAAACTCCTGGAGATGGTGAAGGACAGGGAAGCTTGGCATGCTACAGTCCATGGGGTCAGAAAGAGTTGGACACAACTGAGTGACTGAACAACAACAGGTAAACCAAGCTGTACAGGGAGATTTGGAACAAAAAACTGGAAATATCCCCTAGTAAATGAACTCCTTTGCTAGCAAGTTCCTGCTCAAACATGGTGTCCTGCTCACTCTGGAGTCTATCTCCATCCTTTCTATCAGAGCTGCATTCTCACTGATGCTTGAGGGAGCAGAGAGGGGAGAGGAAATGCTAAGCAAAAGAAACTTAAACCTCCTGAAAGATCTGAAAGATGCTGCGCATGGAGACGTGGGTGAGAGCCTTGGAGAGACTTGGGAGAATTCTCAAGTGGTATGAGAGGCCTCTGACTGATGGACAAAGGAAAAGAGCACCACCAGGATGGTAGACGTGACCTCCATGGTGCTCAGTGGCTTAGTCGCTGAGTTCTCGGTCTCAAGATGTAGTTCCCTGGTGGTTCAGTGATAAAGACTCTGCCTACCAATCCAGGAGACACAGGTCCAACCCCTGATCCAGGAGGATTCCACATGCTGCAAGCAACGATTGCACTCCCGTGGCCTTGAGCCCATGCTCCCCAACAAGAGAAGCCACCGCCACAAGAAGCCCATGCGCTGCAACTACAGAAAAAGCCCACACAGCAACGTAAACCCCTGGAACATATCCTTCTGAAGCACAAGTGAGTCCATCACCGAGAGGTTGACATGCGAAAGCCCGAGTCCCAGGCCTGCAGTCAAGGAGTCCCATCCCTTTTGAGTCCCAGACCCACCTATGGAGGAGGAACAGGTGACTCTGTGCCCTGTCCAGCTTGGATTGCTGGTTTGAAGTAACAGCTGTCCCAGCTGCCCACATGGCAGATGAGAATCAGTAAGAACTGAATATTTCTCATCACTATGGGGCCAGGGAGAGGGACCTCAGAGGATCCCTTGTGTCCAGGCCCATGAAGGGACAAAGGACGCCCCCATCCAGGACCTATGGATGGTCAGTCATTGCCCCAGGGCAGACATCACTGGGGCCCAGGGTGGTCAACAGAGGATGAGTGCAGGGAGGAGCCCATCCACCCCTGACCCCCTCCTATCCCATTAATCTCATGTGCTGACTCCACACCCCAGGGAGGTTTAAAGGATGTCACGATTCCACTGCATCCTTTCAACCTCACACCCGAAAAACATAAATGTGTGAGGGTGATAACACAAAACTAAACTGGAATGACGTCAGCTGTGCAAGCAAGCGGGAACACCAGAACACTATCAAGGCAATTGCACTAATCTGCTTCTAATTGTGCGTGGAATTTGATAATTATCTTAAAGGCAGAGAATGGGAGAACAGCCAAGCATCTTATGAAATGACAAAGGAAGAGCTTAAATATCATGTTCAAGAGTACCAAGCTTTACTTAAACCATTAACTCAGAGCTCACAGAAATCCTCAGAAATCAGGACAGCCATCCTATCTTAGAAAGAAGCAGTCGGGCAGAGACCGCCAGGCTTGTGCCAAGTTCACCAGCTGGGCAGGGTGGCCGACTGGGAGTAAAAAGCTGGGAGCCTGGCTCCAAGTCTGCATGTGAACCGCAGCTGGTGTCACCCCTGTGCCACCTCGTGCTACAGGAGCTAAGACAGCAAATACAGGGACCACACTTGATGAGCCCATGGGGTGATTCTTTCCGAGGTTAATGTTGACAACAAGACATCTTTGCATCACGTGATTGACCTTAGAACTGAAGACCCAACACCTGAAAAATAAGTGGTCATCATCACAAAATCATTCTGTTTTGACTTCGGAAAAATAACTGAACACTTGCATTCGCTGCTGGCAGAGTTCAGAGGTCCATGGTATTAATGTCAGTGGGTAGAGGGCTGTGAGTTGGGGGGTTCTTTGCCTGTGTGAGTCTCTCAGCCCACAACTTGCAGAGGATGTGAGAGCAGATCATGGTGCTCTGGGTCCTGAGGCTCCGGAGAGTCCTGCCTGGAGACCCCTGGGCAGCAAGAACAGGAGAGGGATGGGAGGGTTGGAGCCTTTAGGATCAGTGGTCCCCAATATTTTTGGCACCAGGGAACAGTTTTGTGGAAGACAATATTTTCCATGAACAAGGGGTGGAGTTGAGGGACGGTCTTGGAATAATTCAAGTGCATTACATTTATTGTGCACTTTATATAATTATACATCAGCTCCACCTCAGAGCATCAGGCAATAGATCCTGGAGGTTGGGATCTGCTTAGGATGGAAGATAGTCACACCTGGTGGTCAAGCTTTAAGCACGGGGTTCGACTCCCCACAGCAGGGCAGACTTAGCCTTGTCCCCATCCACTGCTGCCAGCACGGGTATAACAGTGCCCACCAAGGTTGTGCAAACCATAGGCATTGCCTGGCCTTATAAATAAAGATTTATTGACACTCAGTCACCCCTGTTTCTTTATGTATTGTCCAGGGCTGCCTTCATACAGCAGATGTGACAGAAACAGTATAGCAGGTAAAGCCAAGAGTATTAACCATCTGGTCCTTTACGCAAAACTTTGCCAACACCCAGAAAGAGTGTGGTTCTGGCCACTGTGAATCAAAGTACCCACTGCCATCTGTAACCGTCAGTCCTGCCTTTGTCCCCTTTCCCAAGGATGAGGGGCGTGGCAGACGTGGTATAAACACCATCCTCCCCACACCCTTACTCCAACCCACAGAAGGATTTGGCCATCCCCAGAAATACACATTTTTATGGATTTCACTGAAAAGTCTGTTTCAGTCTGAACTTCCAGCAGTGACAGAGGTAAATACATAAATTGGGGCTAAGGCTGGGTCCACTATTCATTCATAATCTTGAGTTTGCAGAAATTTCCCCCAAGTAGTCTAGAGGGCATATTTCCAAGGAAAGCGGGTTGCTTCCTTTGTGACTTTTCTGAAGAATTCTGGAAAACACACCCAGGGTGCCAGGTTATAAGTGAACCTGACAACGTGCAGGCTCTCCCCGGCAATCACACCCAGAACAGGGCTTCCCTCCAAGTCGGCTAAACTAGGACTGCATGCTTCCCCTAGGCCCAGCGCAGGGTTTTGTACCAAGAGCTGGTCCCTGGTATCAGGTGGGAGAAGAGGCTTCCTCTGAGAGAGCATACGATAACAGGACTATTTGCATCATTAGAAAGTATATTTATCATTTCTCGTTCATCTGTAGGCGGTTAAAAATAGCTGCCTGCTTTCCATTACACAGGACTCCAAATACTGAGCGGCGGCACCAGCGTCCGAAACCCGCCCCCGCAGCGCCTTCCCATCAGCAGAGATAGTGAGCTTGCAGGAACACCCTTTCTCATACTATCAGCTTTCCCAGGCTTGGTCCTGGCACGGGAGGGAAGCGGGGCCTCATCGGGGCCAGGGGTGAAGGCGCTGTGCGGCTCCCTCTGAGATGCACAGCTCTGTCTCCAAGCACCTTTTCAGAGCCTCCACTCTGGGCCGGGCGCTGTGCCAGACTCCCGGGAAGAGAGATGGACCAGAGCCTGCCTGCTGCCCTCTGCAGGGCCCCTGCCTAGGGCGGGTCTGCGGCCAACAGCAACGGCTTTGCCTTCCAAACACTAACTGTAGACGTGGGCCCCTGGGGCTCTTGGTCTTATATCTCATTGGCAATTTCTCTGCCCCGGCCCTGGGCTCTGCCTCCCTGTCCCCTCCAAGGGACCCCTTGAAAGGGAGGAACAGGTCCCATGCCTAATCTTTCCTGGGGGAACCAGCCGCTCCCTGTGGTCTGAGTACAGCTGATCCACCCCCAAATCCAAGAAGGTCATGTGAACAGACCTGGCCAATGAGAGAGCAGGATCCTCTCCCACCTTGACTGGGGGTGGGGGGTGGGGCCCAGGATGGGCACGTGACCCAAGCTGGCCAATCACAGTCTTCCCTAGATTTTGAATGAAACTGACTTTTCACTCATGAAAGACAATTACTTTCCTGCTTGAGATCTCAGGACCCAAACCCATGTGGGTCTGAATCTACAGGAGCCAGCAATGCCTCTACGAAGGGGCTTGCCAGGAAATGAGCTGACATGGAGGAGAGACAGGTCAAAGCAGTATCTTCTGGGTCCCTGGATCCAGCCATGCCTGAAGCTGACTGCTCCTGTCCTGTCTAGTCCCATAAGCCCTCAGTCCCCTTCTGCCTGAGCTGATCTATCCAATGCAGTCTTGACTGATGTAGGCATATGCTGCTCGTTTCCCATTCTACAGAAGTGGAAACTGAGGCTCAGAGGGGCCAACTGACTTGTCCAAGGTCACACAGTTGCAGGTGGCATGGTCACTCAGCCGGTGCCCCTGACCACTGCACTATCACCCCATGCCCCAGGGCTTGCTGAACCCCCGGGTAGGCATCCCTGCATCTTCTTCTTTGGCTCTAACAGTGAAGCACCAGGCACTGGCAACACAAGTTCCCTGAGACAAGACTGCATGAGCCTCTGGTGGCAGGGAGGTGGGGGTGTCACAGTGGTCTGCTGCCCAGCAAACAGGCACCCCCTTCCCACTCCATGCTCTGTGGCCCCCAGAAACTCACTTGGTGTTGGCCGGCTGGATGTTGCTCAAGTAATAGTGCACCGAATGGTAGAGAAGCCCCACGATGGTGGTCCAGGCTAGGGAAAGAGCAGACGACCAGACAGCTCTCAGCATCCCCAGTGATAAACCAGAGAAACACAAAACCCCCACCAAAAGTGTTTGCCCAGCGACACACAGTGTAGACCTCACACCCAGGAACCCAGCAGCTCCTCAAGGGCAAGGAGGGGGACATTCAAGGGCAGAACTGACCATGAGGACAGAGTTTGAGTACAGATTCCGCTCCACCCTTCAACTGTGAATGCAACCATGGCAACCACTCCCTGCTACGCCCCTGAGCCAGTTCTGGACACATAGATGCTACAGCTCTTGGCAGAGGGTGAGTGGGTGGGCGGGCAGACGTTCCAGGAACACCACGTGCCTCAGAAGGTAGAGCCGGGTTGAGCTGTGGATGGCAGTGCCAGGCAACAGTGCTGCAGCCATGAGTGAATCTCACTGGCTATCTGTGTTTACAGTATTTACAGCAATCTCAGCACCCCAGTGAGGCAGCGGATACAGGATTTACAAGTCACCCAGACACCTGCCACTCCTTCTGCTGGGTTCCACCTCTCTGTGCTATTCCAACTTGGAAACAGGAATCATCCATTCTGTTACCTCCCTCCGCTAACTTAATAGGAGGTTGGGAGGAGCAAGTCCCACAATGCTTCCTGAGTTCTTCAGAATATCTGTTGAGTGTGTTGAAATTTCAGGAATGTATATAACAATTCACATCACATTTATTATGGGCCAGGCACTGGTGTAAGAGCAGTCTCTTCTAGTTCTCATCACAAAATATTGGGGCAGATACTAAGACTGTCCCCTAAGTCACAGATGAGGAAATGGAGGCCAGGCAGGTTCAGTAACTTGCCCATTGAGTGGCTGAACCAGGATTCGAGCCCAGGAATTTCAGCCACGGAGTCAGTGCTTATGACCAGTTAGTTCTACTGCCAAGTGTGAGAAGCTTCCATGTGGGCAGATCACATGAGGCTGTGATCTTGCTGATTCTGAAAAATTGGGGATTTCTAACAGCCATGCAGCCACATGAGATAAAACCCCATGTGCAGTGGTATGCATTAGGTCAACCTTGGCATTGCCCCTGGATCTCTCCCTTCTGTAGTTCACTCTGAGTGTGGGAGGACAGTCCCCTGAGAGGACACCCCAACATCCCTGAGCACCCTTCACAAAGCAAACTAGAGGGTGCAGGGAGCAAAGGTCAGCTCCCAAGGGCTGGGGAGTGAGGACCCCGAGCTGGAGACGGGACCACTGTCCTCCCCCACCCAGACTGGTCTTCAGTCTTGAAGGCAGAATGGGAAGAGCATGGCCTCTGGCCAGATTGTCGGGTGCCGAGAATCCACAACTCCCTTGACTGCCCAAGGTCCCTGGGACAGTGACACAGCTGCAGGGGCACAGTCATCTTTCAAGGGGCAGGGGGACAGTCAGGACAGCAAAAATGGCCAGAGCCACCCGGACCCCCTAGAGAGTAATTGAGATCACTCGGCTGCTGTCCCATCACTATCCTTGACTTCAACCTGCCCAGGAGGAGAATCCCGGGCTCCTGAGCAGACAAAATCTCTCACCCAGCCACCCAGCCTGAGGCCACCCCAGCAGGGAGGGGAGGTGGCCACATCAGTTCATGGTCCGCTAAGAATCCTCCAGTGAGCAAGTGTAGAATGCAGATTGCCAGCCTGCCTCCCCATTCCCAGTGCACAAGGCTGGATTGTGGTCAGCATTATGAAGATATCTTAGGAGCATCAAAGACGCACCGTGTTCCCATCATGGAAACCTGGACCCATCGGCCCAGGGAGGAGGGCTGGGGCAGCCCCTCTGCCCGGTCACAGCTCACAGGCTGAGTCCCTCTGCAAGGGTCCCAAGCTGCACTCACCTTGGCTGTGGAAAGCCTCGTGGGGGATCTCAATGTAGTTCTGCCCCTGGGCTGGGAAACGGTAGTGGGAGGAATTCATGGTCTTGGGGAGCACTTTGGCCACTGAAAAGTCTAAAACGAGCCAGAGAGAGGAAGCTGCAGTCAGTCAACTCCAGGGCAGGAAACTTGACTGTAAAACCCCATCTGCCTTTGCTTTTTTTTGACAGAATGAGCTCTCCTGGGGAGAGTAATTACCTTTAGGAAACAAGAACCTAAAAAATGAGTGTCCAGAGCAGTCATTGTGACCATGTGGCGGACCTGTCTGACTGCCACCCGCTGCGTGGGGGGGTGGGTGGGGCTCCTGGCCTGAGGTGACCCCTCTGCCCTCAGGGCAGCCCCTCAGCTTAAGATGCCTCAGCACTGGCTGCATCCAATCTGGCAGGGAGACCCCCATGCTGAGGGGCTCCTCCTCCACACCAGGGACCCCACAAGACACAAGAAAATGAAATGCCCAACACTTATCTTCTAAGTGAGGCAAAGCATCATCGCATGAAGGGACCTGCCTTGGCCAACAAACTCCCAGTAAAACCAACCCAAGTGAGTGAATGAAGCTTCCTTTCCAGAAGTGTGGCTCTAATGATGAAGTATTAGGGTACCAGGCTTCCCAGGTGGCACTAGTGGTAAAGAACCCTCCTGCCAACACAGGAGATGCAGGTCAGATCCCTGGGTCAGGAAGATTCCCTGGAGGAGTAAATGGCAACCCATTCCAATATTCTTGCCTGGCAACTCCCATGGACAGTGGAGCCTGGAGGGCTATAGTCCATGGGGTCGCAAAGAGTCGGACATGATTGAGCAACTTAGCACACACACATGTTCCCTAGACACAGACTCTGAAAATATCAAGAACCATGATGTCCACTTGTAGGAGACCATGTGACCAATATCTTAGAGAAACCTGTAGCTGACCCTAGGAAACCTGGGACCCACAGACACTCCAGGGGCTTCTGCTGCTCATCTCCTGTCCTGCACTGAGACAGTTGTCACCCGAGATGAATCTGGCCCCTAAGTCAGTCTCAAAGGCTCCCGTGGTCCTGTGTGAACATCCCAGCTGAGCATGGGTGTTCCAACCTAACTCTGTCTTCCTCCAAAATGTCACTGCACATCAGGCAACATAGTGTAGGACAATGAAGAGGTGCATCTCCACTGATGGCATGTGAGGTTTGTGTGTACCTCTGCGCACACAAGAAAATGCAGGAGTGCAACAAGCAGGTGGCATTGCCTGCACCCCCCCTTCCACCCACCCCCGCCTGCCGCACAGTCATCCTCACCCACACCCACACTGCCAAGCTACCTGCCATGGACGAGGAACCCACGATGGCGACCTGGGGCTTGCTGGCCTGCAGGTTGTAAGTTATGTGGCTCATGACGGTGTCAATGGTGTCTATCAAGCCCGGCACCACAGCGCTGTCCTGAAACAACACCACGACAGGAAGGAGACGTGAAGATGGAGCTCACTCAGCACATGCATGAGTCGGAGGCATCAAACACACAAACGCACAAGATCAAGCTTCAAGTTCACTGTCAACATTCCTGCAAAGGAGGACACCCAGCATCGGCTGAGTGATGTTTCTGGCCAGGCTCTGTCTTCACGATGACCAGATGAGAGGAGAAACAGTCACACTGCTGACCCATTTCACAGGCGTGGACGTGACCACGGAGGTCACCCAGCCTAGGGGAGCTAATACAACATGGATACTGGCTGAGGTTGACCCCAGTCACCAGATCATCAGCTCCAAGGCTTCCACACTCGGACACAGAGTGACCAGACCTGATCCTGGGTCCACTCTGAACTCACTGGGAACCTTGGCATCTCTCTGATCTGCACCCCCCACTCCATCCTCTTCTGCTTCATGAGGAGGGGGCTCATTGCTCCCAACACCCTCCAGGATGAAGATAGCAGTTCTGTCCTAATCTCCACGAAGGGGAGGGTACTTTGGAGGTGCCAACACCCCAAGTCACCCCTGGCCTCCCTGACAAGCCTGGTGTGTCTCTTCCTTTTTCCAAGGGCCTCTCCACTCTCAGTCCCCAAGGCAGAGACTATCCTATTGGGTGCTGCCCCCAAGGAGGCAGGGAGTCCCTCCAGGACACCCTGTATCTCTGCAGGCAGCTCAGACTGGGCTGATTGCCCCTCATCCTCAGACACATGTCTAGCAGGGAGGGGTCATCTCAGTTCCCCTGAGGGTGTGGTGTGTGAATCTCTGCCATCACACCCCTTCTCTCCTTCCCGCCCTTCTGAAAAAAGCATCCATCTGTTGCTAAGTGTCCCAGGCGTTCTCTCACAAACATATGCTGCATGAGAGTCTAATGAGCTGGAAATAGAATATGGAGGCCAATTTTAGACATTTTCTTTCAGGCCCATGGCCTGACTTCAATCAGCCAAGCACAGTTAAGCACATGAAAATCTGTGTTTCTGGCATGCAGTTCTGTTGGGTAGTGGCTGATTCATACCTTCCCTTTAACGCACAGTAGAGCCTGCCTGAGTCTGAATAGTTTCATGATTATTCATATTTTGTGGCAGAGTATTCAGAAAAAGTTCATGTAAAATGATGCTGAAAGTATATTTGCTCAGGTCCTCCTTGGCCACCTTCTGGGGGCTTGCTGGGTGGCAAGCCATCCCCCCCTGGAAATCATCAACTTTGGAGGACTGTGTCTTTAAAAACAGAATTTGTTTCTAGGGAATATTATATTGATCTTAAGTTCATGGCTGTTTTTCTCTTCCTTTGCCACTGTGAAGTCCCATTCCATTCTATTTGAAACTGTTCAAATAAAAAGTTCAGGTGTAAATCTTGGAGCAATCTCACTCATAATGAGAAGGAGAGGTCATTCTGCCACAAACTGGCAGATATGTTTTAAACATTATAGGAGTTCAGGAGAAGGAGTACTTTAAATAATGGTGTGCTTGCAGCCCTTCCAGGCAAGATAGTCAAGACTTCTCCTCCTACCCGCTTCTCCACCCCTGCTGGGCAACCGAGGAAGTCACATGTTGAAACAGTAGCCTCAGAAAATGGGCAGAGTCAGGAATCAGGTCACTGGGCAGAGAAGATGCTTCCCAGACTCACATCATATTTGGCATGGGTGAGAACTAAATGTCCACTGCATGGAGCCACTGGGGTGTATGGTCTATTTGTTACTGCAGCATAGCCTAACCTAGCCTGACTGATACAGCATTGCTGAAAAATACTTAATATCATTAGGAAAGATTCTAATTAAAGAGAAACTGGTAAATTCAGATAGCATATTTATAGAATATATATGCATATAAGAATTATATATAATTATATATAATTTCCTGGCAGTCCAGTAGTTAAGACTCTGTGCTCTCACTACCGAGGGTGCAGGTTCAATCTCTGGTCAGGGAACTAAAATCCCACAAACCACATGCTGTGGGCAAAAAAGAGAGAAAGAGAGAGAGAAATTTCTATTATATGCATATAAGAGAACTGAAAACTAGATTGTAAGAAATACACATATATATAGGACTTCCCTGGTGTCTCAGACGGTAAAAGTGTCTGCCTACAATGCAGGAGACCCGGGTTCGATCCCTGGGTTTGGGAAGATCCCCTGGAGAAGGAAATGGCAACCCACTCCAGTATTCTTGCCTGGAAAATCCCATGGATGGAGAGCCTTGTAGGCTACAGTCCATGGGGTCACAAAGAGTCCGACACAACTGAGCGACTTCACTTTCACTTTCACATATATATAAGAATATGAACAATCATTATCACTCAGTCTGAGAATTTCAGGTGATTTTTATTTTATATGTATTTATTATCTGCATTTTCTAACTAGTCCACAACATATTGACTTGTTTTATTTCTTAAACAAGTAAAATCAAGAGTTATTTTTAAAAAGAAAAGAAAAAGCATTTCATTCTCCTAACCCTTCAGAGTACAGAGAAAAGGAGAAGCTGCTTTGATTTCTACACTCATAATCATGAAGTGTATATTGTCACATATTGGACTTTTTCCACTTAATACAGTGATCTTTAATCAAATATGTTTTATTATCATTCAAGGACAATGTGCTGGTAAAAAGAAAAAACTACTAAAATGATAAACAAGCCTACATTCCTCCTGAAGAAATCCAACAATTTCCCTGCTCTGTGTTGAGGACAGCACCATGTACTGATGTTTGCAGAGCTCTGATCCGTAGAGAAAACACAGCATTGAAAATTAATCACATATCCTGTCAAAATGAGCTCTAATATCCCAGATCTCATGACTGAAAGATGCATCATTTCTCTTACAGATGTGAACCGGGCCATATTTATGCCACTTCAAGGAAGACAAAATGGTTCCCCAGGAACTTCTGAAGACCAAAATGTTCTTTCCTCTCACCTCTGACACAGCAGTCCAGCTGGGCAAACGAAGAACCTCTCCCACGGTGTTTAAGAAAGTCTAAAGGCAGACAAGATGACACTGCTTAGCATGTATTCTTAAGCCTCAAAAGCATAAGACCTCCATTTTCTCATCTCCATCAACCACAGGCTGGGTTTTGCATATATACAGCAGTAAACGAAAATACCTCTCATCAGTGCATCAGGTTATATTTACAAAACCCTTTGATAGATGGTGTCTTATTTGCTCCAGGTGACACTCCTTAGTCAGTGGCAAGTATTTAGGCCGCTGACTCCTGATCTAGAGCAGTTCATCTGAATAGAAATATAATGCAAGCCAAATTTTTGTTTTAGATTTTCTAGTGGTTGCCTTTTTAAAAGTTAAAAGAAAATAGGTGAAATTACTTTTTAATAATATATTTTACTTAGCCAAATATAGCTAAACTATCACTTCAACATACAATCAATATAAAAGTCATCAATTTGATATTTTACATTCTTCTGTTACACTAAATTTTAGAGCTCCAGTGTGTATTTTACACCTTGATTTGAACTGGCCATAGTTCAAGTGTTTAAGAGCCACGTGTGGCTAATGGCCACCTTATTACCCAGCACAAGAAATTCCTTTTCACTTTCTTGTTCAACTATTGGTGGTGAGGAGCCAGGACATGGTGGAACATTGGATAATGGATGCCAAAGATTTTTATTTCTCATCCAATCCAAACTGGTGGAGTTTGAGGTAAATCCACATGATTCCTCTACAGGACACTCAGAGTCAAGTATCCATTCCCACATGGCACCCACCAGAGGTTTCAAACTGATGACCCACAGGCTGAATCTGATTCATAAATGTCTTTTATTTGGTTTGTACACAGCTGCTTTTAAATTTGTTAGCTGCCCACTTTTTTTTTTTAATGGGTGCGATTCCATTTTAAAATTCTGGGTTTTTGCTTTGCTTGCAAAATCAGAAGTAAACATAATGGTTAAAATCAGGAGGCTCTTGAGAAGCTCACTGCCACTCCCCTACCACATTCTATGAATGAATGAACAAAATTTGAGAAGTCTTACTCTTGCTTCTATCACCTAGGCAGGAGAGGTATTGGGACAAATACCTCCTAGCACATCAAAACATCTTGTTTACTAAACACACGCTTTCCCTTGCTTCTTTGGCTGCTTCTTTGGGTTTGTCTTCAGCAAGGAAACCAGGAAGGATTGAGAACTCTTAAAAAGCACTCACCAAGTGCCAGAGTCATACTATGCACATAGGAACCTTCTTGCTACTGCTAAGTCACTTCAGTCATGTCCGACTCTGTGCAACCCCATAGACGGCATCCCACCAGGCTCCCCTGTCCCTGGGATTCTCCAGGCAAGAATACTGGAGTGGGGTGCCATTGCCTTCTCCGAGGAAGCTTCTTAGAACCCAATAAAGTAAGTACTACTGTTACCTCCCAATGTCTCAGATGAGCAAAGTGACGCAGAGATATAAAGTAACGTGACCAAGGGCACACAGTAAGTAACCAGCAGAGAGATGTTCAGCCCAGCAATCAGACCAATACTTCCTGCTCTTAACCCTTATCTACACTTTTGAGGTGTAACAGTCTCACATTCCTTTTCTCTGGATATCAGCAGCCAAAAGCCCTGTGCTGAGATTGAAGTTATCAGGCCTATACAAGCCCAGCATCCTCCTCTACCTTGACCTGGAAAGATCTTAAGGAGAATGTAAAGAGAAAGTACCTTGGTTCTAGTGCCATACATGGTGCATTCACTAAGTGTTTTCAATAACTTTGGGAATTCCCATTGAGATACGTCACAGCATTGGGGTCACACTACGACCCCATGGCTAAATCTGGCAAAGACCCAACTCTGCATTCTAGCTGTTGCCAAGGGAGGTAGCAGAGTTTAGAGCCAGATTTGCAAATTCAAATGCGGACAGGGGTCAAGTGGGGCTTTCCTGGTGGCTCAAACAGTAAAGAATTTTCCTGCAATGCGGGAGACCCGGGTTCAATCCCTGGGTCAGGAAGATCCCCTGGAGGAGGGCATGGCAACCCACTCCAGTATTCTTGCCTGGAGAATCCCATGGACAGAGGAACCTGTTGGGTTACAGTCCATAGGGTCACAGAACTGGACATGACTGAAGCAACTAGGCATGCGAAGGGGCCAGGTAGATGGAGAGACAGGCCAGCTTGGCTGGACACTGGGAAAAGGAGGTGAAGAGTCAAGTCTCATCTGAAGGAAATTCCACCAAGCTGTGTAGAGCTGACTACACAGTGTATAGTCCACGCCATCTGGCTGTTCATGAGAATTCTGAAATCCAGACTTCTATATAAAAGTTTCTGATTTTTTCAGCTCCGTGTAGGTCAAACAAGACACACTTGTTGGTCATGGTCTGGCAGTTTGCCATCCCTGATCCACTGGGCACAGAAATCACATAGCCTTTACCTTGGTGAGGTTGAATGCTGTCTCCTCTGAGAGGGATTTATTGGGTAAGCTGAGGGACATATTTTGAAGGTAACTCAGAACAATTCCAGGACTCCGGAAGTTTTTCCTCTCCTCTGTCAAGTTGGTTATGATGGGATGGTAGGCATCAGTGGGCATCTGAAAGAAATCAGTGACATGAGTTCCTGTTAAGAACTAAAGCCAAGATTTCTACAGAAGTTCAGTCTGTCCTTTGGGCCTCATGCTTCTCACACCATAATAATCATGACGATAGCACTTTCTATATGCTCTTGTGACCATTTAACATATATTAACATTTCATCCTTACAACAACCTCATGAAATATACATGTGATTGACAGATGAAACTAAGCATGAAGAGGCTTATGCAGAAATAAATGAGAGAACTGGGATTTGAACCCCAACAGGTGGTGCTAGAGTCTGTTCCCTCACTATTTCATTAAAGTTCTCATGGAAGGAAGTTGATTGATTACAAATGCTCATATCAGAAGGGAACACTTTCTAAAGGAATGGATCCTTTCCTTGAACATCAGAAGAAGATGGTGCAGAGAGAAGCTAAGTGTCCAGGCCACCTCCTTCTTGCTCTCCAGTCATGGCGCCGAGTGCAGCAAGAAACAGCCTCATGTTAGGTGGTCCCTGGTAAGTTTTGTTGTTCCATGTGGGCACCTGAGGCTACAGGTCATGGGGAGCCGAGGGTCTTCCCTTCAGTCACACTGAGCATCAAGGATTAGTGCTAACATTGGCTACCAAGACAGAGCCAGTCGGTCTAATGGGATTCCCACTCTCCTGGCACATAGTCCAAGCAAAAAGACATCACCAAGATGGGGGGCAAAACTAAATGCATCTGCTCACCATGGTGTTCGCTGTGGGTGTCACAGAGAAGCTGGGTGATATTGAAGACAGCGAAAGCTGCTCTCCTAAAAAAAAAAAACAATAATACAATTAAGGACTGAAACGTAGTCATTTCGTTCACCCTCAGGAAGGCCTGTTTTTGTTTTTTTTTTACAAAAATCTACCAGTTTCAGGCACAAACTAAGAAAGCCTGAGAACGCTGTGAGTAGGAATGTTTCTGGAAAGATAAAGGTCTAATAAATCAGCCAAATGGGGAGATTGTATGGATTTTCGCAGATCAAATTATTTTTCCATTTATAGTCTAAATTGCTTGGAAACACCCTTCAGGCAAAATATCATATAAAATGATGATTTCATACAAGCTTGCACCAATTTCAAATAAATAAAGAAGCAAAAGAAATGGATTTCCATCGCACTGTGGACTAGTTAGATATAAAATACAGAGGGTTGTGAATCACTGAGCTGGGACAGACAGGAAACCTGGCCCCTTCCCTTTCAGCAAGATGACACTGGAACCCAGTCAAGTGGTGGGGAGACCATCTTCTTGAGCCCCTCCCATCCCGAGGATTCTATTCAAGACCCCATGTGGTCAGTTATGAGTGACCACAATCAGAAAGACATCCAAAACCAAAGATGTAGCCATGGGACTTCCCTGGTGGTCCGGTGGTTAAGCATCCATCTTGCAATGCAAGTGACATAGGTTCAATCCCTGGTCTGGGAAGATCCCCCATGCCACAGGGCAACTAAGCACTCAAGCTGCAACTCCTGAAGCCCTCTCGCCTAGAGCCCCTGCCCCGAAACAAGAGAAACCACTGCAACGAGAAGCCTGCACGGCGTAAGGAAGAGTAGCCTCCACTCGCCACGACCAGAGAGAGTCTGTGCACAGCAATGAAGACCCAGCACAGTCAAAAAGAAACAGAACAAAACATGTGCCATGATTTACTGTTTTCTGCCTGTTTATCCGGAAAAGGCAATGGAAACCCACTCCAGTAGTCTTGCCTGGAAAATCATGGACAGAGGAGCCCGGTAGGCTGCAATCTATGGGGTCACGAAGAGTCAGACACAACTGAGCAACTTCACTTTCACTTTTCACTTTCATGCATTGGAGAAGGAAATGGCAACCCACTCCAGTGTTTTTGCCTGGAGAATCCCAGGGACAGGGAAGCCTGGTGGGCTGCCGTCTATGGGGTCTCACAGAGTCGGACACGACTGATGCGACTTAGCAGCAGCAGTAGCAGCAGCCTCTTTGTCACCAGCTAAGGGATTAGGAGAAGGGCCCCCTCCAGACAGGTCACCCAGGGAAATGCTCCCCCTTTGGGCACCTGCAGCCTAGATCACTCACAGCTTCATGTGCAGACAGATCTTTATGGAAAGAACAGGCTCTACTCTGTCCTGTGGGCACAGCACCACAGCAGCTGGATTTTAGCCCCAGTTGTCTGTCTGAGCACAGCTGCCCTGAACTCAGCTGGGCTAGACTAAGCGATGGCCCAGGAGCCCCACACCAGGTCTTCAGGGGTCTTTGAGAGACACTTTTCAATACAGGCTTTACATCATGGTCTCTGTCTTCAGAACAAAATCCCCAAGTGATGTGGGATTAGGAGTCCAGTTCTGGTTGAGTAAAAGTAGGCCTGCAGTCCCCAGGACACACAAGTATTAAGAGAACACTTCTCCAGTCTCCCAAAATCGCACAGAGCCCTCCCCAAGTGTGAAGACTGAGGGTGAACACACACACGTGATTCAGTGGCAGGGACTTCCAGACACACTGCACTGTGGCAGCAGGCGGGTGGAGGGGTGGGATGGAGGTGGGGATGGGGAGACTGACAGGCCACATCCCTGAGCCCAGAGATGTCCTGGTGACAGGTTTTGCTGTGACAGCTAAAAGGGCCAGGAACATTAATGCCTCTTTCTGGTGATGCTAAAACAGTAAGCTCCTGGGGAGGCAGGAGTCATTTGAGACTCTCAATAACACAAGTACAGATGCTATCTTGGTCTCTAGGTGACAAAAATCTCGGAATCTGAGGCAATAAACTGCTGTCGATTGATATCCTTTTTCCTCTTAAAGAACAGTATATTTTGTCTTGTGTCACTTCTGTGAAAGGGAATGAATTCTGCTTTCTCAGTGAAAGATGGAAACATCAGAGGCTGCTGTGGATATAGGCTGGTTTTGCTGGCTCTGAGACCAGCGTCCCTGACTGTGCTCTGGAGGGGGACTGGTGGGGGGCAGCCCTGACCTCACTGCCATTTCAGTGGGGTAGACTGTGACCTAGGCTTAAGCCAATCAGAATATTCCACATCCCCACCCACAGTCACTGGTTCATGGTCAGTGTGGGCCAACAACAATGATGGCCAGCCCGGTTGTAGTAGATGACAGAAAAAAGGAGCTCCTTGTTTCCTGCTTCGGGTGGGGTGGGGGGTGGGGGGGTGGAATGTGCTCCTGGAGGGAATGGCAGTCATATCCTGGCACCACCACAACAAAACAAAAGAAGGCAAAGTCCAAAACAGAGATTCTCTAGCGACATCACTTGAGCCACGAAAGGTCACATATTATATGATTCTCTTTATATGGAATATCCAAGATAGGTAAATCCACAGAGAAAGAAAGTTAGTGATTGCCAGGGGCAGGGGAGGAGGAAATGGTGAGGACTGCTCCTCCGGGATGGGTTCCTCTGGGGAGGATGGTTGCACCACATGTGGACATAGGAAGTACCACTGAATCGTGTACTGTAAAATGCTGACATTCACATTACATGAGTTTTACCTCAATTTTTTAACAAAGTGACTTCCCAAGTCCCACGGCTCGTCATGGTTTAATGAGACTTTGAAACCAGGTCTGCCGGTCCACCAGGCCCCTGATCTGATCCACCACTCTGTGCTAGGCATGAAGGGAGGTGGGCAGGGGGGCTCTCTGAGGGTCCATGGGTGAGTCTGACACGCGGAAGGCATGCGGCAAACATGTGTGGATCAAATGGACCGGGAACACTTGCTTCCCAAAGCTTTCCATAACCATCCATCACAAACTTCAAAAACTCCCTGGTGACCAGCATGAGAATATTCGCCTCAGTGTGTTTCAGGTAAATTATGAATTCCTCCATCTTAGGGAGAAGGGGTTCTAGAAAAAAAACTGATCAGGATGCATTCAGCCTGCAGTACCAACAGCCCGAGCAGGAGAGAGCCGAAAACAGAGAGAACTATTTGCCGCCGGTAAAGGGGCGGCAGATAGGAAGGTCCCCGCCCCCCAGAGCTGACGTCACACCCGGCCCGCAGCCCCACCCCTCTCACTGACCAATGGCAGCTGTGAAGTACATGGCGATCTCATCCGGGGTCAGAGCCCGTTCCCAGATGATGAATTCGTCAAAAGCTCTGTTCTCATAGCTCTTGGCCTGGTCCTGCTTAGACTCCAGCACAAGGTTGTCATTGGACTCCCCGTAGGCGGGAGACACTTTTCCACTTGGGTCTGAGGTCCTCAGGGTCCCATTGACGTAGACTTTCAGGCCCTCCTCGGACTTCCATGTAAACAGGACGTGAGTCCAGTAGTGGCCTGGGAAAGAGCAGACACACCCTTCTGAAGACGTGAGTTCTAGCTCCACACTCCTAATTTTACACACATTTCTCTCCCTTATAATAGTAGGTCATTGGTTGAGTCCTAAGTCATAATATAGGCTTCCCCGGTGGCTCAGATGGTAAAGAATCTACCTGCAATTCAGGAGACCTGGGTTCAATCCCTGGGTTGGGAAGATCCTCTGGAGAAGGGAATGGTAACTCACTCCAGTATTCTTGACAGGAGAATTCCATGGACAGAGAAGCCTGGTGGCCTCCAGTCCATCGGGTAAGAGTTGGACACCACAGAGCAACTAAAACACACACATACGTCATAATACACATCTGACTTCCCTCAGTCTTAGGAGCTCAGAAATACCCTCACTCCTGAAAGCCCAGAAGCCTGTTCAAAGATATCCTCTGCCATTTTAAGTTAAATGAAATAACTAATGGTCCAGTATATATATGTCAAAAAAAATAATAATTAAAAAAGTAAACTTTTAAAAAAGGAGAGCTTATTAAAAAGAAAACTTGTTCAAAAATATTTTTTAATTCATCCTAGGCCACCCCCAGGAAGGTCAGCGAGACCTACCTGAAAGCCTGATTCAGCCCTCAGGCCACCAGTACCCACCTCCACCCTGACCTTGAGCGTGTGATGGCAGCATGGGGGAGGACAGACCACTCCTGGCTCCGCCAGAGCCTCCATCAGGAGCCTTGGTGGTGACTCACTGCTCTGGCATGAGAACCACATTCACCCACAAGAAGAAATTTCACCAGACTTTGACAGCAGCTGGCCCCACAGAGAGTCTCACTTCATTGTGTAGTGGGTGTTCAGATGCACCCAGTGACCTGCTGCTGAAAGCAGTTACCCAAGGCTTCTCGCTCATTAATAGTAGGTCATTGGTTGAGTCCTAAGTCATAATATAGGCTTCCCCGGTGGCTCAGATGGTAAAGAATCTACCTGCAATTCAGGAGACCTGGGTTCAATCCCTGGGTTGGGAAGATCCTCTGGAGAAGGGAATGGTAACTCACTCCAGTATTCTTGACAGGAGAATTCCATGGACAGAGAAGCCTGGTGGCCTCCAGTCCATCGGGTAAGAGTTGGACACCACAGAGCAACTAAAACACACACATACGTCATAATACACATCTGACTTCCCTCAGTCTTAGGAGCTCAGAAAAGAAGTTACCCTCACTCCTGAAAGCCCAGAAGCCTGTTCAAAGATATCCTCTGCCATTTTAAGTTAAATGAAATAACTAATGGTCCAGTATATATATGTCAAAAAAAATAATAATTAAAAAAGTAAACTTTTAAAAAAGGAGAGCTTATTAAAAAGAAAACTTGTTCAAAAATATTTTTTAATTCATCCTAGGCCACCCCCAGGAAGGTCAGCGAGACCTACCTGAAAGCCTGATTCAGCCCTCAGGCCACCAGTACCCACCTCCACCCTGACCTTGAGCGTGTGATGGCAGCATGGGGGAGGACAGACCACTCCTGGCTCCGCCAGAGCCTCCATCAGGAGCCTTGGTGGTGACTCACTGCTCTGGCATGAGAACCACATTCACCCACAAGAAGAAATTTCACCAGACTTTGACAGCAGCTGGCCCCACAGAGAGTCTCACTTCATTGTGTAGTGGGTGTTCAGATGCACCCAGTGACCTGCTGCTGAAAGCAGTTACCCAAGGCTTCTCGCTCAGAATTGGGCAACTTTCTAACCTTCAGTCTCCAGAGAGCAGGGATCCCAGACAGGTCCAAAGTATCACTGTCAGGACTTCCCTGGTGGTCCAGTGGTTAAAGAACCCGCCTGCCAATGCAGGGGACGTGGGTTCCATCTCTGGTCTGGGAAAATACTACATGGCATGGGACAGCTGAGCCCATGCTCCACAGCTATTAAGCCTGCATTCTAGAGCTCTTGGGTCAAAACTACTGAACCCACATGCTGCAACTATTGAAGTCCACGGGCCCTAGAGTCCGTGCTCTGCAACAAGAGAAGCCACCGCAATGAGAAGCTCACACACTGTAACTAGAGAGTAGCCCCTGTTGCAGTGAAAAGGAAAAAAGAGGAATGAGTTCTTATCTTTCCCTTTCTTGAGAACAAAGAAGATAAAGAGAATGGTGAGCAGGCCTGAATATTCCTAGTTTTTTTACTTCAGTTGCTCTTAACTCTGCATGTCTGTATCAAAGTTCGCTTTACTGCCTCCTAACTCTGCAGAAGCTACAATTCACATTTTTTCCTTTGACTCTATGCTAAATACATCCCTTATCTGGTGTTTATCCTTACAACACCCTTCCCCTTGTAGTTACATATCATAAAGAAGGCCACAGAGCCACCCAACTGCCAGGCTCAATGACTGGGTTACTGAAGCCAGTTTATGACTGTCTTGGAAACAATGCAAGGGGAAGAAGTCAAGATCCTATCACCTTTGTTCCTCATCACTGACTCCTGACTGTGAGCCCTTGCCTTATATTAACCCCTGGACTCTTCATGGAGTGGGGGGCCACAATTCTTGAGGTATAAGCCTACTGTGTTACCCTCTCTGCTGGCTGAGAATTAAAGCCACCTTTCTGTTTCTTTCAAACTCTATTTTCATATTGTTTTTTCATTCAACTTTGGTGGGTAGAGAAGTCCAAGCTTTTGGCCAGCAACATCCCTGCTCACCGCAACTAGAGAAAGGCCCACACGCAGCAACAAAGACCCAGCACAGACAAAAGTAAATAGATACACAAAATCTTTTTAAATAATAAAAATAAAAATGTTTCTCTTCATTTTATAATTTTTAGAAAAGTATTGTCCTTGGATGTGAAAATACCTTCAAGGAACAAATGAGAGCACAATGTCAGGCAGAAATATTTACAATTCTCCCCATTTCTCTGGGTAGATGAACAATCAGGGTTCAACAGATTTGACCTTAAAACATACTCAAGAAACCTACAAGGTACCTAATACTGTGTCAGCCCCAAAGGGGCAGGGAGATCAGACTGTTACCTAAGAGACTGACAGCAGTTAGAACGTGATAATAGCTATGAACAAGGTGCAGGGCCTGTACGTCTAAGGAGAGGGGAGGCAGAGACGATTTCTGGCCCTGAGGATTGGGGAGGGCAGACATGAAAGTTCTCGCAAAGTCTGTGCGTGCTGAATTTACCACTTTTCCAGAGGTACAAGCCTGACCCCAGCTTATAGTATCAGCAGAATCAGGCAAATGCATTCAGTATTCCCTGGGCACCACTCTCTTCTAGGTTCCTTGCATGTTAACTCACTTCACTCTCAGTCGCCCTTTGACCTAATGCTGTCACTGTGCTGACGATACAGATGAGGATGCTGAGACACAGGGTGGGTGAGTAAGGCACTTCGGTCCACACAGCTGGCAGAGAGTGAGACCTGACCTAGGCTGCTTGGCTCCATGTTTAAAAAAAAAAAAAATTTAGACACACAGCCTTCCTTGAACTGGTCCAGAAAATGAGTTTTCCTTAACTAGGTCAGGAATGTCACTTCCTCCTAGAGGAGACCATTCTAGACTCTCAGTTTGCCTTCAACCTGCGAGCTTCCCTTCTTAGTCTCCAGTCTGGACTGGATGCCCCTTCCATGCCACCTTAAGATGCTCTGAGTCCCTGGTCACCTCTCCCCATCTTAGTTCACAGACCTCCAGCCTCCCCCAGCTGCCTGCCCCACACTTCTGCCCTCCTGGCCAGTCAGCTCAGATCACACTGTGCCCAGAGAAAACAGGAATCTGTGGAACAGAACCATGTGGCCTCCCAACACCCACCTAGGGTCTCAGGCACATCTGCACACACCCAGCTCCCCGCCCCCCAACCCTTCCCCGGTCCTGGAACATTCTTCCTGCATCCCAGGGCCCCTCCCTGCCTGGTGCCCTAGCCTCTTCTCCAGCATCCTTTCTTTCCCTCAATCAGCAGCCCCTCTTTTCCAAAGGCTTTTTCACATCAAAGTCAAAACATTTGCAGGTTTGCACCACTAAAAAGAAGGAGGAGGGCCAGAGAAGGAGGAAAGGAAAGAAGCAGGAGAGGAGGAGGAGAAGGCAGATGGAAGATGCAGGAGAAAGAGGGGGAAGCCAGGAAAAGGAGAAACAATAAGCACTGGGCCGAGAGATACACTCCAGCCTGTGAGCGAAGTATCGCTATTATCTTCACTGCGCGGAAACTGAGGCTCCAGTGTGCTAAGTAACATGACGCAGTAACACTGTCTGCAGTCAGAGGGAATCCAAGCACCTGGCTGCAGAATCCTGGCCCTTAACTAACCAGGCAGACATCTAAGCAAAGGATGCTATCTCACCCTTTCCAGTAAGTTTTCCCAAGCAGCCCCTTTTACTAGGAAGGGGCTTGCGTGCCCCGAGGACAGCGGGCTCCAGAGCTCGACATCCTTTGGGTTCATCCGCTTCCTATCAGGAGGTGGAGGCGGTGGGGGACTGGGCCTCCTCCCGCCTTCCCCCCGCCCCCACCTCCCAGAGCATCTCTCAGGCCAGTGTCGCCCTTACCTGGGGGGCTGAAGCTGGCTTCCCACGTCACGGATTTGTTATGTGTGTATAGCTCCACGGAACCCTTGCCGCCGCTGGAGCAGACTTTGAACCCGTTGGAAATGACCTGTCCTCCGTAGGCAGAAGGGATTGATGTGGACTGTTCTCCTTGTGTCTTCCAGAAAAAAGAGAAGGAAACCCCTGAGGACAGGAAAGACGTGCGGTTATTATTAATGAAAAGTGAATGGGACTTAACCTCACAGAGGCAGGTCGGTCTCCCTGCTTTTTGATTTTCATTCAAAAGGTAATTTTTTTCCTCATTCTAGAAACAATGTATGTTCAATGTGGAAAATACAGACAATAATAACAGGTAATATTTATTAAGAGCTCACTGGGTACCAGACACTTTTCTAAGGGTTTTAAACAAATGCTCTCCACTTAAATATTGAGACAGAAATGCAACTCACTCCAGTATTCTTGCCTGGAAAATTCCATGGATGGAGGAGCCTGGTGGGCTACAGCCCACAGGTTTGCAAAGAGTCAGACACGACTAAACTCTGAGCATATACCTCTTAAAAATTTAATATTACAAAATGAGGTTATCACCCCCATTGTGCAGATGAAAAAACTGAGGCTGGTTTGCCCAAGGTCCCTAAACTAGAGACTGACTCTGATTAGATTCAAAAAATCTGATGCACAGACATCATCTATTAAGGTGGGTCCTTCCAAAATCTCTTCCATAAACATTTTACAAAGAAAGGAACCAATTCATACATACTGGTTTATAAGCCACATTTTTTAAACTTGTGGTATCATAGACCCTTCCAATGTTCATAAATATGCCTTGACGTCATCTTTGTTTTTAACTGCACAACATGACATTCTAACCAGTTAACTGTAGGGAATTCCCTGGAGACCTAGTGCTTAGGACTCTCTGCTCTCACTGCAGAGGGCACAGGTTCAATTCCTGACTGGGGAACTAAGAGCCTGCAAACTGCTTGGTGCACCCAATAAGTAAAGCAACAAATAAGTAAGCAAAAACTGTGAATTCTTTATATATTTATTTTTAGCTGCACTGGGTCTTCACTGCTGTGCGAGGGCTTTCTCTAGTTGCGGCAAGTGGGGGGTACTCTTCGTTGTGGTGTGCAGGCTTCTCATTTCAGTGGCTTCTCTTATTGCAGCCACCAGCTCTAAGCTCACAGGCTTCAGTAGTTGCAGCTCACAGGCTTAGTTGCCCCTCGGCATGTGGAATCTTCCCAGACCAGGGATTGAACCCATGTCCCCTGCATTGACAGAAGGAGTCTCATCCACTGTACCACCAGGGAAGTCCCGTAGATTTTTTTTAAACAGCAACCTCCCAGTGACTAAGTCTTAAAGTTTTCTCCAACTTTTAATTTCCCAAACCAAACTGGAAACTAAACCTCTCCGCACATCTCAGATTATATGCCTTTACAATAGATTCCCAGTGGAGCATTTTTAGTCAAAGAGGAAGCCCACTTTGAAAGGTTATGAAACTTACAATTGTTCATTTTCAACAAAGCAGGGTCTATGGAGGCCCTGGCATCCAAGACAGCCAAGTCCAGCTCTTAATGGTGAAGACCTGACCCAGGATTCCCTTGCAGACAAGGGAGAAGGGAGGAGAAGGGGAGGGGGGCAGGCTCCCCAGGGAGGCCCGACAAAGGTGGGACCAGCTAAAGGCTCCTGTCATTGCCCTTTTGGAGCCCGATCACCCCTACTCTGCTTCTCCAACTCCAATAACATTTACCCTTTCTTTGCACGTGAGTAAACTGTGTGAGCGTGAGAGAGAGAGAATGCATGTAACCTGCTGGGCACAGCTTGTAATAGCTGGATATAAATCAGGCAGCCTCGACCCCCTCAACCTAGTCCAGGCTTCAGAGATGCTGAGAGAGGAGGTACTCAGGGTTGATCAAAACAGGGCCAAGATTGGAACTCTCTGGTGGTTCAGTGGTTAAGAATCTGCCTGCCGATGCAGGGGACACAGGTTCAATCCCTGGTCCAGGAAGACACCACATACCACGGAGCAACTAAGATCACACGGCAAGTACTAAAGCCCATGCACCCTATAGCCTGAGCTCCGCAACAAGAGAAGCCACGTCAATGAGAAGCCCGCGCACCGCAACTAGAGAGTTGCTCCCACTTTGCCACAACTAAAGAAAGCCCATGTGCAGCAACGAAGACCCAGCACAGCCAAAAATAAATAAATAAATGTGTTTTAAAAGTTAATAAAGTAATATGTACAGCATAATACCATGTGTCTCTAAAAAATTCATAAAACATTATCATATATTTTTTTAAAAAGATGAAACTTGAAATAGTGGATGAGGCTCAGAGAGACTGCAGAGCAGAGATTCAAGTCGCCAGGAGTACGTTCTCAGTGCTATTGAGGAAAGAAAAAAGTCCTCAAAAGTGCCCTGGGACACAGGTCACTGCAATTAAATGACAGGACTTCGGTAGGTTGTCCAGAGAGCGGCTGGGCTGTCCCAGACACTGCTCCTCTCTGCCTTTGCAAAGGCACCAGGTGGAGGGGTGTCCCAGGCCCGAGGTCCCCCAGGTCTCCTGCCTGCTGTCCACTACAGGGGCACAGAGTCCGGAAACGAAACTCCAAGCCTCCTTGCTTTGTCTCTCCACTCAGAAACAACCAATTTCATAGAGACACGAACACAGCACATTGTGAAACTTCTATTATGAAACGACGTCCCAGTGGGATTCACAAAAGTCCATTTTTTCCCAAACACTTTGCTGCATTGAAAAATTCCTTTCGCTCAATCCTGTCTTGGCGGAATGTCTTTCTGTCCAGGAAGAAAAATTAAACATAAAACATTCAATTTGGCCTTAGGTAAGGGAAGATCGAAGCAGATGATGGTTCCTATAAGCCAAGCTTTTCATTTTGGTTCATTCGGCCGACAAAATAATCATTTGTCTCTGAGGAACAGCTTGTATTTAAATATCAATTTACGTCTTCATTGACTCTTCAAAGATTCACAATGAGTCCTCTAATATTAGTACTTTCAGGAACTTTGCTTCTTGCACTTGGAATTGTCAATACAAAGAAGAAAAAGTCTAAAGGAAAAAGAAGTGCAGTATTGACAAATTGATTCAACACTTTTCTTCTTCCTATGAGCAGTAAATCCTCATCCATCCCAAAAGTTAAGAGAGGAAAGTTCTTTCTTGATAAGACAAAAAAAAAAAAAAAATTCCAGCTGTCCCAAGAAAAGATGGATACATTTGAGTGCATAAATATTATAAAATTCTGCAAGCCAAAAAACTTAAAGCCATGACAAAGTCAAAAGAAAAATGACAACCCAGGAAAAAAATGTTTGTAAAACATTTAACAGGGAAGAAATAAATGTCCTTACTATATAAAGAACTCTTTAAAAAGAAAAGTAAGTTCTACTGTTTAAGAACTTACTTTGTGCAAGATCAAATGTCCCAAGAATTTTACGAGTTAACTCTTTTAATCCTCCCAACAACCCTGTGAAGTGGGGGTTAATATGGTCCCCATTTTACAAGTGAGAAAACTGAAGCCCAGAGAGATAAAGTAACTTGTCTAAGGCCACACAGCCAGTGATGGAGTCAGCATTGGGACCAGGCAGTCTGGCTCTGGAATCTGCGCCTGTCACCTCTCTATCCTCTCTTGGAGATGACGTTCTTTGGGAGAGGGCTCACTCACTGAATTAGACAACAAAGATTCTCAGGAATTCCACGGAGGAGAAAAGTGCCTACAGATGTGGAAGTTTTGCTGTGCGTTATCATCTCTGTGTCTGTGGTGAGTGGGGCAGAAGCAGCAGGTAGGAATGGGTAGGGAATCTCTCCAGGTAGAGGACCAGACCCACAGACTCGGCACCATGTCCTGCGTGTTTGTAACTCAAGGTGGACCAGAGCGGTGGCCAGCGGGGAGGGCAAGGAGACCCACAGGTGATGTAGCAGCCTGGACATCCATCCTTCCTCACCCAGCACAGCATTCTTGGGGAGAATTGCCCCCCCCCCACCAACCTCTGTGTCCTCTAGGTCAAGTGGGACTGATTACACAGCCCCAAGCTCATGCGGGCTGGAGCAGTCAGAATCATAGTGACTGGTTCAGGGATGGCCATGCATCAGCTAATAAAAGGGACTCCTGGAGGCTCTGAGCCAACATTGTTATCACACCTGGAAAGCCCTCCTGAGAACAGAGCCAAAGTGATGGAGATTCGAGCTTCCAGTGACGTCATCTAAGCACCTGGACCCAGTTCGTCGTGGCAGACTGAATCTCCCAAAGAAGCCACACCATCTCCCAGCCCATCTGCTTTCATGCCATGTGACCTTCCCATTATCCACCAAGACTTAGGCCAGTGCCTCCACCTGCCCTCTGGCTGATCTGACCAAGAGGAGACGACAGAAGTGGCCCTGGCCAGGTTCCAGGGACAGCCATTAATTGTCCAGAAGCTTCAGCTTTCGGCTTCTTGGAGCATGGAACAAGTCCAGGCTCTGCTGGTAGAGAAAGAAACCATGGAGACGAGCCGGAGATGCCAGAGATGTGAGTGAAGAAAGTGGTCTTGAGAAACCAGCTCAGGGGCACCTTCCAAGGACCCAGCCCTGGCTGCCACGGCTATAGCCATGAGAGAGCTCTGCCAAGCCCCAGAACTGTGAGAGGTGATGCTAAATTGTGTTTCACTTGTTAAGTTTGGGAGTGCTTGTTATGCAGCAGTCGATAACCAGAACACAGTCTTACTTGGAGCCTCTCAATGAATCTCCCAAGCCTAGCTGAGTTGAATTCCCACTGCTTACGAACTTTCAGTTGACTATGACTGTCCACAGAGGATGAGTCCCCTTCCTGACCCTGAAGTCCACCAAAGGCCACCAAAAGCACGTACACATGGCTTCCTCCGTCCTTCCTGACCACCACTTCGGGTGACAGGTTCGGGGGGGAGGGTGCTGGGGAAGCTGCTGCAGGCTGAGCAGAGGGAGCAAAGTGAGTGTTAGTCACTCAGTCATGTCCAGCTCTTTGTAACCCCATGGACTGTGTCCCACCAGGCTCCTCTGTCCATGCCCTTCTCCAGGGGATCTTCCTGACCCAGGGATTGAACCTGGGTCTCCCACATTGCAGGCAGATTCTTTATCATCTGAGCCACCAGGGAAGAGGGAGGAAGGAGATGCTCTATTCTTTTCTGTTTCCAAGAGGACCTGGTTCAAGACAGAGCCTG